ATTGCATTTAAATTCCCAGGACCACCAAGACGTCCATGACAAGGAGCGTGATAGTCATTAAATCTAGCCACTGCAGCAACAGTTTTCGCAAGTCTCTTGAAAATTGCGTTATGTACACTTTTGCGCCCAGTGGATTAAACTGCCAACACAGCTTCATATAAATCTTACAGGGCTAAACTGCCTACAGTTTCATCTTATCCTCGAGTAATAAGAAATTAAGTGATATTGTCTGATTTATGTATGGGCCTAAGAAGGCGCCATAGCCGCAAGGTTCACGTTTTGTTATGTTGTGAAGCTCGCTGATATAGTTTATATCTTTCCCTATCATCTGGATGGGGTTTTATATCTCTCCCTATCATCTGGATGGGTTTTTATAAACCTATGCTTGAGCTATTTATTCTACAATTGACTTTGAAACATTCAATCTGCTGTTATCATGGTATTGAACTGCATAAACGTTATTGACATGCTAGTATTGTGCCATTCTGATTTTGCATTCTGGAGGGTGTTTTCTTTTAATTACCAAACTGGTGATAAAGAGAAACCAGTAATGCCAGTTATCATCTTTAGTGATGGAAAGAATGTAAAGTTTGTATCTCGGTAGGCTGGTTCGGGTATCTAGTAGACAAGAAAGTCTTATCCCTTAAGTCCATCGTGTCCTAATTGTCTGCTGGTGTCCCTCTGCCGGTTGCATAGTCTAACATGTGTCCGATAAACCAACCGTAAGCTTGCCACTTGATCGTCAAGGTTTGCTGACTGATCTAATAGGCTACCGCAGCGACTATGTAAATAAACTTCGAATCTCACAGTAAGGTTTGCATAGTCACAATTTTCGTCTTGTCCCTGTCCGAGAACATCCGGTAATACTTGCAGCAGATCAAGCCTGAGCTTCATAAACTGAGGTGTACCCACCCTCTGAAATTGTCTAGGAACTCGTGGGCCGAAACAAGTCTGGGCAAGGGATAACTTCTACTGATGATTGGTAGACTCCTGCTGTACATGCTCCCCTGTGGCGTTTCTTCTTATTGTAGACATAACAATAGTTGCATGATTTTTTTCAGGGCATTGAGCAGTCTTCCCCCTCAACTCAATCTGATCATCCTAAACTTCGTTACCTCATGCACCACCCCCACCTTCTCCACTATGATCCCGTCTATGCGTTTTTCGTCTGCCTTTATTCTATTGTAAAAATAATACTGACGTTGAGTCTTAAGTTTACATGAATAAATCCCCTTCCTTTATCAGCTAAAAACTCCAGAAAGTTCTGGTTATTCAGCCACTTATGAACTTAAGTCTTCTTCCAGAGCGTGAGTTTCGCTGCATACTTATGGCTTATTTGCAAGCACACTGTTGGCACCTCATCTCTCCGGTAGATGCACTCCAACATTTGCAAGCACACTGTTGACACCTCATCTCTCTGGTAGATGCACTCCAACATTTGCAAGCACACTGTTGGCACCTCATCTCTCCGGTAGATGCACTCCAACATTTGCAAGCACACTGTTGGCACCTAATCTCTCTGGTAGATGCACTCCAACATTTGCAAGCACACTGTTGGCACCTCATCTCTCCGGTAGATGCACTCCAACATTTGCAAGCACACTGTTGGCACCTCATTTCTCCGGTAGATGCACTCCAACATTTGCAAGCACACTGTTGGCACCTCATCTCTCCGGTAGATGCACTCCAACATTTGCAAGCACACTGTTGGCACCTCATCTCTCCAGTAGATGCACTCCAACATTTGCAAGCACACTGTTGGCACCTCATCTCTCCGGCAGATGCACTCCAACATTTGCAAGCACGCATGTAAGCGTCTCATATTTTGACAACATCCACAGTTGTAACTTTGTTCTACTTAATGAACAGACAAGGAGTCTTCAAAGTAAATGACACTTCGTTTAATTATAGAAACAACAGTAAAAGATCTAGTTTCTTTCATTACAGAAACAACTCAAATGTAAAGATACCGTTCCTACAATTACAGACATGTTTTTTTTTTTTACAGAAACATGTAAAAGATATGGTTCGTTTTATTTCTGAAATAAAAGAAAAGATATATGGTAGTTTCTTAAATAGAAAGTACTTGAAAGTAAAAGACAAAAGTTCTTTTAATGACTTAAACAAAAGTCAGAGAGTGGGGTTGCTTTAACTGCAGAAATACAAAAAAAAAAAAATTATAAAAGAATACAGAAACAAAACTTGGTGTAAATACACAAAAACAAATGAGTATAACTAGAATCCAAGTGCTGACCAACCATTTTGGTGCAACACAATTCACAACCAAGGCTGAGGGGAAAGAGGGAGAAGAATCACATACAAAGATCGCATCAGCACCCCATATGCCCTACAAAAGATACTGTCAATGCAGTTTTGTTTACACAAAAATTTACTCAGCAACTAAAAAAAAATTTAATATCTACTATGTGAAAACAATTTCCCAGTGGGGGCCCACAAGGCCCAATTTTTGTGGAGGAAAAGTATCTGCTGCTCCTTAAAAAGCATGTTGTAAAGATTAGGTGATAATTGAATGCTCTGGGCCAACAGGTGTAGATGCCACGGCCTAGCTGTATGCCACAAAAGAATGTGCCAACAGCCCTTTTAAGGACGAATGCAGAATAAGAATCTGTCAAGTGGTCGTCACAATAAAGGCTGGCTCCAATGAATCTCAATACACACACTTGTTCTGGGTGTACTCTCTTTAAGAGTGCCATCCGTCCATCTCTTAATGTTATCCTCCCACTTGTATCACTGTCTGTCTCTTGCCTACAACTCTTCCCTCCAATATGACAATTTTATATATGTTTTTCTTGGATACAGAGAAAATTTTTCACTTAATATGATCAAACTGTAAGCACAACACATCACAAATTTGAACTGCTGAATGCTATGTCTAGTCAGACCTTCCTTCGTACCAGGAACAAACAGGTAGCCACTGCACTATCACTGCTTCCAAGAGGTGAACAAAAAGAATATATAGATTTGAGTGGAAATCACAACCCGGCCATTGGAAGGATCACACACATAAACAACTGCTTAGAATTGAGCAAGTGACAATCTTCAGACTCCACAAGTCTATCACAAGTGGACAGGATCAGGCAAGAGGGGGACCACCACTTACTTGACTAGCATTAGCAGGTCATCAGTCTACCCTTGAGAACAGGACACAACAAACTTAACAAGCATATCCTCATTTCTCTTTATGCCTAGTGGCACATGAGGCTTCAGAGAGGACTTCCCTGTCCTGTGCAATCTTCAGTGCAGTTTTTCCATGTCAGAGATAACAAGCATATGCACAGGCTTCATCTGAGTAGTTCACTCTGTGTGCAAACTGCCCAAGTGTTCTGCAAGAACGTCCCTTGTAGAGCCCATTAAGAAGGGAGTATTGGCCCAATGAGTCAACACTGCACCCAAAGTTGTAGGGAACTAAAGGGGAACTCCTAAACAAAAAAACCAAGACAATATTATCATAAGAACTTCTCTGTCGGTGATTATAAAAAGCAGATGAAGACTCCACACAGGACATCATCCTTTTACACGGCTTAGTCCTCACAGACCTTCTTTCCTCCGCAATCCTTTCAATATCTCAGACAGAATCCACTCCAGGACCCTTTGGCCTCCCCCATCAATGTTTGTTTCAGGGTTTCTCTTGTACGCCCTCGTTTCCCCAATCCATTTGTTACCCATTTCAGTGTCTGTTTAGTGATTCTTTGTCCACTGTTCATGATGTGCCTAATATACTGCCATCATCCTTTCCTTATCTCTGATGAAACAAACATTCAGTTGTTCACACTGGATAGATCACTTGTCTACTAAACTGACAGACAGGAGGTACTGATGAATGCAGCAGCCCCACATCTGGTAAACTGAGGGCTCCTTCTCTACTTTATTCCTTCAATGGCACACTGGCCGTGAACGAGTTCAAGCCAAGTCATCCTATCCTCTGCTACTGTATGCAGTTCAGCCCCATGTCCTTCCCATCTCTTTTCCCCTCTCTCACTAACTTATTATCTCCACTTCTGATCCAGCCTGCTTTGTTTGAAACACATTGATGCTATCCTTCCTTTGGAGGAAGCTAAGCAGGCAGAGGAAGGAATCATGCTGCATTGGCAACACAAGGTCTTTACCATACTGCACAGGCATATATAACTTTGACTATGTTAAACTTCTTATGCCTCATCGTGACTATGCTGAACTCCTTAGGGCCAGATTATTTACTGCTTTTAAGCTAAACACCATGGGGGTAGGAGGAGTTAAAGTAACAACTGCTTGCCACTGAAAGTTAAGAGCAAAAATACATCAAAAAAATTTGTTTAGTGGTTCATTTTGGACCATACCACTGTGCAAACTCTACAGAGATGTCCACAAACTCAGACTGTTTTTTTTTAAAATATATTCAGGTTGACACAAAAAAGGGTACAAAGAAGTATTTGCATATATAAGGGGCCAAGCCACTTTCATAAAGCAATTATTACAAACCACAGTATTTGTTTTAACTACACAGAAACATCAATTTGTACTCTAACAAAGTGTTTAACTATGCAAGGATATCACCACAAAACTAACACTTGTGTCCTCTCTAGGACATAATTATGTGAGGAAGGACTATTTCACTTCTTGGTGCACAACTCTAACTTGTGGATTTCACAAGTACTTTCGCTGAAGAACACCCACCTCAAATCGACTGATTTTAAAAATGAAAATCTCAGCCATACGTTTAAAATTGATTTTATGTGTGCAGTGCATACACATTTTTTTGTCTTCGCAAGTGAGCTGATAAAAGTTCTGTAGGAAAAAAATCTGTTACAGATGAGCAATAACTTGTAAAAAGAGACCAAAAATATTTAAAATGAAATGAGAATAATAAAAAAAAAGAGGGGGGGGGGATATTTTCTCATCCTCAGTTGTGCCCAAAACCCTATTAACAGTTCTGCAACATCTTATCAGCAACAAAGTATTAACAGAGCACCAAGCGGCTTTCCTTGCATGTAGAAACGTGGCTAAAAAGGGGGACCATAGGCAGCCGCTCCTCCATGGTATGCAGCAGGCAGTTGATACGCTTGGGCATAGGCAGGCATGGTTCCAATCGTGTAGGACCTGGAAGCAGTCACAGGGATGCCACCAGGCATCTGCGAATACGCTGCCATAACCGGACCCCCAGCCTGCCCCGGGGCAGGGTACGGGGACCCCGGTGCGGATCTCGGAGCCAGAGTGGTTTGGTAAGCTATCCCAGGGTACTGGCCAGCAGAGATGTAAGCCTGGCTGGAAGTGGGAATGCACTGCATGCCGGAGTACTGCATGGAGGCATAGGCCGGGGAAATGGTGGTGTAGCCCGTCGGGCCTCCATTGGACACCACTGCGTAGGCTTGAGGAGCTGCGGCGTAGCGGGCGGCCAAGGCCGGATGTCCAGGGGGGTATCCTGTTGGTGCCGGACCATAAGGGCTGGGGGCGGACATATAGATGTTGGGGTTGTCTGCACCAGGAGAATTCAGACTCTGGTTACCGTTGGGTGGGATACCTGCGTAGTACATCGTGGTCAGTTAACAGCTGCAAAGATAGAAAAATACAAACTTTGATTAATGCTCTGTACCCCAGACAACATACTAACATTATATTATAAATCATCTTGGATCCCCTACTGAATGGGATGAATTCTTTCTCTCCTGGGAAACCCCTACTGGATGGGATGAGCTCTTCCTCTACTGGGAAACCCCTACTGAATGGGAGGATTTCTAAATCTCCTGGGGAACCAGTTGAATGGGAGGAATTCTTCCTCTCCTGGGGAACCCCCACTGAATGGGAGGAATTCTTCCTCTCCTGGGGAACCCCCACTGAATGGGAGGAATTCTTCCTCTCCTGGGGAACCCCCACTGAATGGGAGGAATTCTTCCTCTCCTGGGGAACCCCCACTGAATGGGAGGAATTCTTCCTCTCCTGGGGAACCCCTACTGAAGGGGATGAATTCTTCCTCTCTTGATGAACCCTTACTGAATGGGATTAATTCTTTCTCTCCTGGGGAACCAATACTGAACTGAATGATTTCTTTCTCTTTTTCGCATTCACCATCTGTAAATTCTGGCAGACAGTCCTGGTTGTTCAAACACTTCTGGACTTAAGTTTTGCTGCAGCACTTAAGTGTTGAAAACTTCCACTTTTGGCTTATTTGTGTGCAGACCGTCAGTTTCTTACTTCACAGGCAGATGCACTCCAACTTTGAAGAAAATGGCATGCCACCTATGTGGCCAAGGCTCTCCGACTGAAAACCTCTTTCTAGGATGTTCGCAGACAGACAGGTGTAGGCAGGACTTGACCAGTTTGTGCCTTGATCCTCCTTCTGCATAATATCACATATCTGTATCCGGGGGGGTGGGGGTGTCTGGACAATTGATGACATCAAAGGTTATAAGACAAAGAAGATGGTGATATATTAGGCCTATCCTGTGGATAGAGAATAGGGCAATGAAACAGGAAACACATGGGGGGAGGAAACAAGGATGCTCAAGAGAAACTATAAGACAAATGTTTAGGAGAGAGGTCAAAGGTGCTGGATTGGATTCCATCCATGATTACTGAAAAGACTGCACAGGAAAGAAGAGAGCACAGCACACAGTTAGTAATGTAGCTCCAGTAATAATCCCTCAAGGATCTTTAAAACAAAAATATTGCACTCATGAACTGAACTATACAAAATCTAAAAATGACCCACATTATCCAGAGGGCTGGATTACTTCCGCGTGAAGACGGTGCTAAATTAGTAGAATAAGCAGCTATGAGAGCGTACCACCACAGCAAGAAAGAGAAAGTAGGGCTCTGATGACTGACTGACTAAATGAATGACTGGCAGATGAACTGACAAATGCCTGCGGAAGTGGAATGTGTGGGCCAAAAAGAGCAAATATTGCAGCCATGTTGTCAAATGCATTTACGTTTTCGGGTGAACGAAGAAGAAGAAAAAGAATCTGCATTTTTAAGGACATTTAACTGGAGGAAATGTGCTTTTACAACAACAACAAAATATACTATTCTCATTAGAACAGCCATGATGGCACAGTGGATAATGTGCTTTTACAACAACAACAAAATATACTATTCTCATTAGAACAGCCATGATGGCACAGTGGATAATGTGCTTTTACAACAACAACAAAATATACTATTCTCATTAGAACAGCCATGATGGCACAGTTGATAATGTGCTTTTACAACAACAACAAAATATACTATTCTCATTAGAACAGCCATGATGGCACAGTTGATAATGTGCTTTGCTGTTAGGTAATGGTTTAGTGATAATTCCCTAGAAAAGGCAGCTTGATCTTTTCTGACCAGGATGACTACTGAGTCGACCCAGCCTCATCACAACAGGTACCCCTCCCCCCCCCCCCCCACTGTGGGTTCCAGGGCCCCATTGTGAGGAAAACAAGAATAGACCCACTGTCTCCCCCAAAAGCATGTCGTAAGAGTCGACTAATTGGGGAGCTTCCTTTGAATTCGGAGTGCATCTGCCGGAGAGGAAAGGAACCAACAGTCTGTATTCAAGAGAATGAGATCTGTAAAACTGATGCACACGCAACACTCAGGTTCTGGAGCAGGACTGCAGTTCAGTAGTGGATGAGCAACCAGAACCTTCCGCCAGAGTGTACAGCTGGTGAACGCAAAGAAGACAGAAGAAGACAACAGGTACCAGGTAATTTTCTGGGAAGGAAGAGTAGTGAAGACAAATCTGCAAAAATCATGGCCTAGTATATGCGAATTTTGTTGTTAAATGTTGAGTTAAGAATTAACATCACAGCACTCAGGACACTCCCATAAGTGCTCCGTCCCCGTCTTCAGCAGCAAGCAAAGAGTTCCAATTCCGATCGCACCAGCAACCGTCTGATTGTATAGCCGCCTCATCCTTCCCCTGAGTGTTGAGTGTCGGACACATCCTTTGGTTACTCCTCGCAGCGAAGACCTTACATTATGTATGTATCAGGTTATCAGTGGCAATTCCAACTTCATGACAAATAGGTCGTATCTGCTCCATTCCAATCCCAGTGAAAACCACACAAAATGCCTACCATTGTCCCTATGAAAAGAATCAACAGCAATCCTAGCAAAATCCAACAGCTTGTGCATGAATTAAATGCAAAAGGTAACCACCAGATTTGCCAACACCAACAGTCTTTCACTAGAACTGCAGTTCACAGAAGTAGAAGTCATGACAAATCAACTGGTGTACATGCATAACTGCACAAGGTATACTGCCAACTATGTGGTAACCAACCAAATGTCATTTCCTCAATATGTAGTTTACAACATAAATCTCAAACAGCACAGACAATATGCATTTCACATGAAATCCACAGCTCACAGTGTCACACCTAAAAGCAGTAACTACGAGACTATCAAAGTTAGTGAAGTTGTTAACAAAACAACAAAATTATTTACCTCAAGTTAACAACATCAGACTCATGAAGTGAATTTAAAAGACCAGCTTCAAAGACATATCTGGAAATCAGAAATAAAGACATGTGGTTAAAAAAAAAATAATTTTTCTTTCTGTGTGTGGAAGGTAGAAGTATTATCATAAATTAAAAAGAGGGGGGAATTTCCATCTGTCTAGGCGAAGGTGAGTGTGACCAGCAAGACCGGTTGGCATTAAGAAGAATCTTCCACAATAAATACATGAGACTGCAGGATCACTGCTGCCTTCACATGTGTGTGACATGTTTCTTCTCAGATACTCAGCTCTTCACCTGTCTGCAATCCTGTTCTCGTCCCCATTTCCCTTCCTAATTTTACTCCTCAATGCAATGCTATCCCATGAACCTACCTCAATGCCTGTAGCATTCATGTCCTACTTGCACACACCCTTAAAATGCAGCAGATGCCAACTCTGACATCTTCTACTGATCTGTAATTCACCACAGGGAATGTCCTTAAGGACTACCATCATCCTTCCTCTGAATGTATCCTAGCCATCCAAGCCTTCAAAAACTGAGCATTGAAAACACTTATGACACCTGCACTTTACAACACCTCAGTGTTTGTAATCTTGTCTTGCCGCCTAAGGCCAAGTATACTTCACAAACACTGCATGTAAATGCTATTCAGCCATTTCTTCTGGTGTAAGTAAGCTGACCAAGTTCACTACTAGGGTGCAGGAGAACCCATGTTTGATAAACAAAGGGGTTTTTGCTTCAACTGCCTCAGCAAGATCACTAAAAGCAACACATAGTAGTTGATATTGTTCATGTCATTTTTTTTTTTTTTTTGCAGCTGTTGTAATGAGAATATCCAATCTGTGTTGGACTCAAAGGCCACAGAGGATAAACCTGGTCTCCTAGAATCTGCAGTCTTCACATAACAATTCTGGCATATATTTTTCTAACAGCTAAAAAAAAAAGTAAAATTGTCCTGTAGTTGCATTCATCTGATTGCCCCTTGTTTTTGTGAGACCTGTCCGTGCAGCATAGGGTTATTACCTGGTGAATCTGTGGAATGTCTTTTCTGCTACTGACCTCTATAGGAAATTGATCTCTCCCTGCAGCCTTCTCTGTAGAAGTTCATCAACAGCAAGGCTAACTTCCACCAGTGTTGGAAATGTGTCCACATAGTCAACAGCTGTCAGAGCCACCATGGCATTAAGAACAGCATCTGTTAGTTTGCTTTCAGCTGAGATAAGCTCCGAGTAGTGTTGCTACATTTCTTTCTATTATATGACACCAACTGAAGTTTACAGGCTGTAGCGAATCAACACATTATTAGCTGGGGGCTACCCATCTTGAGGCGGCGGTAGCTGATCAGTGATAATCTTAAATGTCTCACACTCTCAAAGGTAGCCCATGGCATCATTGTCTACGCCAACTGACAGGGACCATAACTGCCTCTCAATTTGATTCCAAGACCAATTAAGGCCATGGATGAAGTTCCTCCTCTCCATGGCATAAAGCCTGTGCAGTATCGTAAAGACCTTGTGTTGCCAATGCAGCATGATTCCTTCCTCTGCCCGCTCAGCTTCCTCCAAAGAAAGGATAGCATCAATGTGTTTCAAACAAAGCAGGCTGGATCAGAAGAGCAGCAGTCTGATGTCGGCCTGTTGGAACTGACAAGCTGTTAACTAAAAAGGGCCTGGTTTGCCCTGCCATAACTATTAAGTTTTCATGTTGCATTTAATCCAGGATAAGGCTTTATCCTCTACAATGTGCTCTTCTACTGGCACAAATGGCATGTTGGGTTTGGTATTGGCCACCAAAAACTGGATGTTACCGATAAACGATCTACAAACAGCAGTCCAGACACAATGATATCTGACCAAGAAAAGATCTGACATATATATCACATCCATATAACATTGTTCACTCAAAGATCGATCATCTTCACTACACATGACTGAGCTCTGATCTCCTCCTTAGTATGTCTCCAAGATCTCATTATAACAGTTGTTTTTATACTCCAATTGAGTACACTGATATATTGCCAGTAAGAATAACAAAGGTGACAGAGGCATTGCTGTAATTTTTCTGTTTAGATTTGCCCACGGTTGGCT